CGGGCTTAGGGCTTAGAGCTTTTGCGGCTTAGTGGTTCAGAACTCACACTCGGACAAGCCAGGCGAGGTTAGTGGTGCGTATTCGGATGAGGCTTGGGGTTTAGGGCTTTAAGGATTTGAGGGTCGAAGGAATCACGCGGCTGGGGCTTAAGGCTTCAAGCCTTTAAGGTGGGAGGTTTGAGATTTGGTCTTCGAACTGAGGTCGCTATAAAGGATCCTGCGACCCTCAAGACGTGAAAGGATCCGTCTGCTAAACAACCAATGCACGGCCCTTCAGACCCCGAAGTCGCTAGAAGCTGGTCTTGGTAATGATGATGAATATCCTAAGCCCTGACCTCCCTTAATCCCAGACCCGCAAACCTTCCAAAACTCCACTAAATCCTAGACTTCCTAGTTCCAAAACGCACAAACTCACACTCTGCCGGGCACCTTCTCGTCCTCCATGCGCACCAGAAGCCGCGAGGCAGCGATGCGCAGTGAAGGCCGATCACCACGCCTGAGATTGCATGCTCGGCGACAAGCCTTGATCAAAGAGGGTGTAGAGCTCTTTAGCACCAGATTCAGGCTCCCAGGTCTAGAGTTTCGACGCCCGGGTTTCGTGGCGACTGCTCTTTGGGTTCTCGGGCTGAGGGCTTGCCGGAGGCAAAAGAGCCAGGACGAATAGGGTTTTGAGAGCTTTGGGTCTGGGTTTTAAGGTTTGCGATTCAGCTCTTGAGAAGGCACTGGATCTCTACCCGTCCGCCGACCCGAGACCCAGCAAGAACCGTGCGCCCCGAATTTCCCACAGCCTCGCAGCAAGCCCAAAAATCGTTAGAAAGAGGAGCATGTTCAGTAAAGCTTTTTCGCCCAGGCACTTGTGGCGGCGTAGGCCTTGGACAGAAACTGTCGAACATACAGTGGCAAAGCCAGGTTGCGCTTGTTGCTCAACGCCGTTTACGTCCATTCCAAGTATATGCTTTCTGCCTCAGGATCTCACTAGACATTCCAAAAACCCTCACAATTCCTCTGATTCGCTTCAGAATCTTTATTTCAAATATAGCTAAGACAAGAAACCCGATTCAGCATTCCTCTTCCACGACGACGACGACGACTACTACTACTACTACTAAAACTTCTGCTACTACTGCTACTAGTACTAGTACTACTATTAGTACTACTACTAGTACTACTAGTACTACTACTACTACTACTACTAGTACTACTACTAATAATAACAATAATAATAGTAATACTAATACTAATACTAATACTAATACTAATGCTACTACTGATAATGATACTGGGACTGATACTAATACTAATACTAATACTAATACCAATACTAACACTAATACTAATTCTAGTACTCATACTAACACTAGTACTAATACTAAAACTAATACTATTACTGATAGCACTACTACTAATACTACTACTAATACTAATACTAATACTAATACTAATGCTACTACTGATAATGATACTGAGACTGATACTAATACGAATACTACTACTAATACTAACACTAATACTAATTCTAGTACTAATACTAACACTAATACTATTACTAATACTACTACTGATACTAGCACTTAATACTAATACTAATACTAATGCTGATACTAATGATAAAGCTAATACTAATACTAATACTAGTACTAATACTCATACTACTACTCCTACTACTACTGCCCGACTACCCGTACTCACCATTGCGTTTTCAAGGAGCTGCAGACCCCGTGCAACTGTGTTATTGCACGATTGTTGTCATTGATATATTTCCAAAGTGTATAATAACGTGTACAAACTTCACGAAACCCTCATCAAATCCAGCAGTCATATTCTAGCTCCTGCGCTTGTAACCACAGGATGCTGCGCACAACAATCGGCAAAATCATCCCTGGAAGTTCTGGTCTAGACCCTAAAACCCTGATTACGAGTCCCTAAACCTTGTATTCTACATTGAACCTCAACATCCTGATGTACCTAAGGCCCTGAGGCCACCACAGCTCACGGCTGGCTTCAAACCACAGCACAGCATCGCCAGGGCCTGCCCACAACGATCCCGAGACATTTCTGATTCCAGAGTGGACAGCACGGGCCTGGATACATCTACATACCCGGTGCTCTCACACATGTGCTCGATGCCACCTGCTCTTCAAGATCTTGGCACATGTGTGTGCAGATATATAAATATAAGTGTAAATGCAAATATAAATATAAAATGAAAATAAATATCGATGTCAAAATAAAACAAAAAATATAAACACATATCAAAAATAAAACAGATATAAATATAGATATAAATACAAAATGCATATTCATATAAAAGACAGAAGCACAAATATAAATATGAATATAAATGCAAATACAAATAAATATATATATATATATATTAAATAGATATGAATAAAAAACGAAATAAATAGAAGTATAAATATAAGTATGAATACAAATGTCAATATAAATATAAGTACAAATAAAAGTATAAGTATAAATATTAGTACAAATCTAAAAACATACATATATATATATATAGATATGTGTGTATGTATGTACGTATGTATGTATGTATGTATCTATGTATGTATGTATGTATGTGTGTATGTAAATATATGTATACATACATACATACATGCATACATACATACCCACACACACACATATATATATACTATTATACTGTATATGTTTATGTATGTGTATATATATATAATAGTGTACCTGTGTGTGTATATATATATATACACATATATATGCGTGCGTGTGTGTGTGTGTGCATGTGTGCATATATGCATGCATGTCTGTATGCATGTATGTCTACGTACCAAGCATGTCTATACATGATAGCGACTGTGTAGACCCATAGTGTCACTGCTAGAAATTTCATGGAGATTCCGCCGGCCGTTCCGTAGTCAATGCTCATGCTAAACTTGCATCAGAAGCAGTCAAAGAACAGAAGCAGCAAAAAAGTATGCATGCAGTAGCGGAACAATTCTAGGATCGACAGCAATCCGACTAGAACCGTACAACCCTTGTACAGGGGAGGTCTGCACATCATTGACCTGTGAGTCCTTTTTCACGACAACGGCAATGCCACGCAAACGCGCTGAGGATATGGGCGACATGCTGCCGCGAACACCGCCACACCATAGTATAGCACGTAGTATGCGCACGCACGTGCGAGACAATTACGCAAAGCAAAGTGGCAAAGTCGTCCACTGCACAAAACTTTGCCGGACTCTAGCACTAATCGAAAACATGTAGCAGCTCTACCCGCAGCTGCAGGAGTTCAATGCGAGAGAGCTCAAACCCCCCGGTCGTGAGAAGACTTTGCCTGTTCATGCCGCAGCTACATTACAGACAAACACCCAAAACAACGCACTCACACTGCAATTCCTGTACCCACTAAGTGAAGAGTGCACACTAACATTCGCCGGATCGGCTGCAGCATATGGCATATGCACTCCCAAGCATCATCACGGCCGAAGAAACATATAGCGGAGCATCCCAAACAGCAAACACCAAAATACGATCTGTGAACTCGACCAGAAAATCAGTGCCTCGGCCGCAGACAGGCGAACCATCCAGGAAGGGTCCTCTCTGAAAAACCCAGTCAACAGAGTATGTTAGGGCCAATATCGTCTCTCCACGGCCACGGGGGAAAAATATTTAGTCGCAAACACAAAACTTAAGACTGTCCTGGCAATCAAAAATGCATACTCTGACTTTCCTGGCCAGCGCAATCAAACATGCATACTCTGACAGAACTGGCCAGCGACGTCTAAACTCTACGGCCTCGACCTTGCACCACTAACGCAACCAGAGAAAAATCCCTGCACAGGTCCTGTGTATGTCTGTGCCGTCCGTATGCTCTAGAGAAGTGCGAAACCCTTTTCTCCATCGGCGGTCTCTCAGGAACCTAGTTTGCCCAGTGAAGGGCTGGAATGGATACCTCCGATTATCTGCCTGTACTTTCGTGCATCTTCGGGAGGGTTGCCCGCGCATTTTGCGCAAGTATTGAGAGCCAAAAAGGCCTAGAAAGGGCCTTAGCCGTTCATCAATCCACCGGCCTACTTCACCCAAGCCTTAGGGGTTTCACCTGAAGTCAGCCAAAACCTCATGCCGAAGCCCTGGGATTTCCAGGGCTGCCTGTCCGGACAAGGCATCATATCTCTGCGCTGAATTGACTGCGGGTGCATCTGCTGTTGTAGCAGGAGAGCTTCAAGAAACATAGCTCGGGACGCCACTATGCTTACGATCGAAGTAGCTGTCCTGGTTCTTGTTCATGGTGATACAACATTCCCATTTTCCTTCTCATCGTTCCGGACACTACTCGGTAACAACAAGAATCAAAATAGCAGCGATACGGGAAAACAACTAAGTTAAGACAATTCCTCTGCTGCTGCCAATTATACCATCACCACGACGACGACAACTACCACCACCAGCGCCACCACACCACCCGCACGACCACCCCCACTACCACCGCCACCACCACCGCCACCACCAGCAACACCACCCCCGCTACCACCACCACCACGACGACTGCTTCTGCTGCTGCTGCTGCTGCTGCTGCTGCTACTGCTGCTACTACTACTACTACTACTACTACTACTCCTCCTATTGCTACTGCTACTGATACTGCTACTGCTACTGCTACTGCTACCGCTACTGCTACTGCTACTAATAATAATAATAGTAATAATAATAATAATAATGCCACTCACCACTACTTCTACTACTACTACTTCTACTCCTGCTAAACGGCTACTCCTGCTCCTACTAGTAGCCGTATCTCCAGGGTCACCGCATCTTTCCTATTCGCTTCTTGTCCAGAACCTGCTGTCAAGATTCGACAGCAAGGAACTTCCGTTTTCGGGCATTGAATCTGGTTTGGGATTTGGTGCTTCGAGAAAATCCATGGACAGTCGTATGCACCCTCAATGAATGAAGCGATGGGGTCGTAGAGATCTCCCCTGATGCTCATCCGTACCTGGAGGTTAGCGTCGGGATGCAGGCTACTCGAAACTGGAGTTTAAATTATTCCAAAACAAATTACTGCTCAATCTCGGCCGAGGGTGCAGGTCATCATCGTCATCGGCGGCTGCTGCGGTTGCTCCGATTCCGACATCATCCGGCCAGTTGATGACGACTCCGGTCCCTCCACCGGCACTCGAGTTCATGTAAACTGGGTCGAACTTCTTCCGGAACTGGTCGTACCTGGAACCGGGAGCAACAGAAAACAGAACTGTTAACCTAATTGGAAAGTCTCCCTAGCCCCCTAGCCGCGCGGCAAGCCCATCAACGACCTGCTAAGAACGGAAGCCCTGAATCCTAAACCCCTACACCCCAAAGGAACCAAAACCCCTGAACCCCTTTTTCCATCCGGGAACCCGAACCCCTGAATCCCTGAAACCAAAGCTCCAGGTCACCTGCCCTGAATTGACAGGATGGCATGATAGGAACGAAACTATAGCAACCGCCATGCCAGCAATGGCAACAGTGATACAGTGATAGCATAGATGGTCTTCCGCGGTCACCTCGCGCTCCACTATCCCTGAAGCCCCAAAGTCTAAGCAATGTCACTGTCCGCCGCCAGCCCTGGCATCTCCAGTCCCGACGCCAAAGCTAAAATTTTTCTCTAAAACCCTAAACCCGAAATTTTAGTACAACCCTACACCCTGAACCAGACAGTTGCCCAGTTGCTTTGCCAGGTCCGACCCAGCGACGGATCGGCGGGCCCCGGCGAAGGCTTCCTACAAGCTGCAGACATCCGGATAGGATGGGTTGCGGGCCGGAGAAAGGAACAGCAAGAATTGGCAATAATGAGCATAACTCTCATAATCACGAGAAGAAGAGAAAAAGAAGAATGATAATGATTAGAATATTGAGACCAACCAATACCAAGAGCACTAAGAATATCAGTATTCATACTAATTGTCATAAGAACAAGGACGATAGTAGCAACAATAATCGTGACCATCATCATCCTCGTCATCATCATCATCGCCACGAGCATCTTCACCATGACCATCATTATGTTCATCTGTTTCTTCATCCTCATCACCATCATCATTTACACGGTCGTCATTTCAGTAATCGCAACAACGGCGGTAAACTGCATCAAGAAGGATGTTTAGGTACGAACTGTTTAGGGCTTGGGGACTCGAGGTTGTTGTGCTGTGCTTGAAGCAAGGCTTAGGCTTTAGGGCTTACCGGCTCAGGATTAGGATTTAGCGCTTAGGATTCAAGGGTGTTGTTTTAAACGACCCTGTTCCATCCGCCGAAGAGTCTGAATAGTGGATCTTCTACTGGGTGTGTGGACAAGCGCTCTTGTAGGCTCATGTCGAGGGATGACGGCTTTCATGCACAAGGGTCAGCACTTAAGGTCCAGGGTTGCAAAAAAAATTGGGGCTCGGGATTATGCTTGATCGATGAAGGACTGTCAGTTTAATGGAATGGCTCGACGGGTCGTCTAGGAACGGTGCCTTACCCTTTTTTGAAACCGGGCTTGATGACTGCAAGCATTGCCTCTTCTGCCGTTCTTCAGCCAGGCCCGAAAACGTCAGCACACAATTACTCAGATTACTCCACTCCCTGGGATAGGTACTCCGCGTAACGACCACCGAATGTTGAAGCCAAACCTCCCTGACCACATTTGGCAGCTCCAACAGCACACAACCTGAACGTCGGGATCCACCAGGAAATCCTAAAAAGACGCAGCCGGAACACCCCGAACTCGTCAAAAAAGATCCTTGTGCATACAAACAGACAGGCAGGACGGGGAGGGTGGGAGGCACGGCACGGAAGACAGAGACGGAGAAGGAGAGAGTGAGAGTTTGAGATAAAAAAGATATACAAACACAAAGGTAAGGATTGAGGGCCAGAACGAAAGCCAGGGGACAAAGCGGTCAGAGCTATCAAGACACACAAAACGTCTCTCACAGCACCCGCAGTGCCAAGCCTAAACATGCCTACACCACACAAGCCCCAAGCCCCGCAAAGTTGCCTCGAAGTGCTTGCGACCGATCTCGGAGCCCATCTGCGTATCCATGGCATCGTCATCACCTTTCCAGCGCTTGGGAGTGTGCGGGTTAGGGTCCGGAGACTTTTGAAGCTCCAGGCCTCGCTATCTTTCGGCTTCGGGCTTACAAGGCAAGTATGCTGCCCTAAAAGCCCTAAACCCTAAACAAGAGGTCCTATACCCTAGATTCACAACTCTGAAAGCCCTTAACGCTGTCAGGGCGGGTCAGGCTCAGCGCTTGCAGGACTGGCTCTGTTCGGCGGACAGAATTCAATCATTCATGGGCAATACTTAAGATAGGGCCCTGAATGACTGTAGTAGGGTTATGGGCGTCAATATTGGGGCAGAACTATAATGGGACCCTACAGAGAGAAATTTTGCCTAATTATTCAAGCTTCTCAGGCTTCTACAAGTTTTATATCACTGCAGGCTGCCGTGGCACACGAATCTCCGCGAAAGCATCCCGAACCGTCAACTGCAATGCCCTAAACCCTAAACCCTTTTGCATCCAGGACTCTGTTCGCCAGCCGGGAAAGCGCAACATTCAACCCTAAACCCTAAATCCCTAAACCCTTAACTCCTAAACCCCAAAATCCTAAGTCCTAAACCCTAAAGCCCTCCCAAGCCCTAAAAAGCAAACTTCAATGGTTCGAACTCAAGCCCATCTGTGGGAGGTCCTGGGAGTTGGGGAAGGTTGCACCTTGAGATCAGGGTGTGTGTGCGTATATGTATGTGTATATGCATGTGTATATGTATGTATGT